AAACTTTGTACTGTTATACACATAAACTGTGCACCAGTCTCAAAGTGCTTTGTAATTTTCTGGAAAAACAAATATTTTTGATAGTCTTTGTACATACATTTTCCTTTGTTTCTCATTCATTTCAAATAATTAGGGATAAGATGAAAATATTTTATGACTTCTGCAGACAAAAGGGATGTGAAGAAATGAAATGGGGCAGAAGTTTGTGTAATCCTGTGGCATTACTGCCGTAATAGAAAGAATACCTTTCAATGGCTGATATGCAGCTAACCCAGACTATCAATCAAATTGCTGAGGAACTGAGTTCAGACGAATGCAAGATGCTGATCTACCTGTGTGGCACCCTGGACACTGACAATTGTGTGGAAGACGTGAGAGGGAAGTTAAAATCTGTGATTAATTGTGGGGGAGTGAACCACATGTTACTGTGGGAGCTCATATTTAGGATAAAACGGTATGACATTTTGAAGAAGGTATTACAGACGAATAAACGTGAAGTTGAAGAGATCTTGGGAAATGGAGGACATGTGTCGCAATACAGGTAACCGAGTCTTTGTTCTATGCTGATTGCATACCCTAGTCTCTGCTACACAGCCCAGTGAAAGTAGACTATGCCATCCTTGAGATCAGCTACACAGGTGATTTTCACTCTGGATTCCTAATTCTGATATACAGTCTTGTCATTTCTGTATTCATGTCACTAATGCATTTAGAAATGGGCTCAAAGGTAAGTCTGCTTCAGTCAATGATGAGGTAAAAATGTGTTGATGTGCAAAAAAAAAATTCTCTTACCCTCTAGTGCAAGTATTTGGATAGTATTCTGGGGAAATACATGTTGCCATTAATGTAGAGCAAAATGTATATTCTTGATGTGGAAAAGTATACACAAAGTTCTCACATATCAGTAAAGGAAACTTTATTGTGTTCCAGAGTGTTAATGGCTGATATAAGTGATGCTCTGGGTAAAGATGACCTGCAGTCCCTCATTTTTCTGCTCAGTAATACTCTTCCAACAGGAAGAACACAAAGTGCAACGGTAAGAAACCTTATGGATTAAAATCAGTTATGAAATTTAGAAGGGCTTGTGGCACGTGTGATTGCATTGTAATGTATGGTTTTAGCAATTGCGAAAAAGCTGAATGCTTCCTTTGGTGTGCCAACATATATAAAATGTATGTAATATTAATATATAAAACCCCTCAGTAATTAACCTTAAGTAATGAATTTTATTTCTGACATTGCTTGTATTTTTATGTTACTGTGGTCTAAAGTAAATCCTGTAAAATCAGGGGGTGTTCTAATGTTACTGTGTTTCCTTCCATTTTGCAGAGTTTCCTGGATGTTGTTGTTGAGTTGGAAAAGTTAGACAAGGTGTCCTGTACAAATGTGAATCTGATTGAAGAGTGTCTGCTCAGCATCCGTAGGGTTGATCTTGCGAAGAAGGTTCAGCGATACCGAACAGGAGGTGAGGGCTTGGGACAGGGAACACTGCTATGGCCCTGACCCTGTGTGGTTGCTTAAATGGCATGGGAGCTCTCAAAAAGCCATCCCTTTACTAGGCCGAGTCATTTAAAGCTTACATCTAACACAGCGTGTTTAGCTGACAAGAAACTTTGTGTTTCATGAAACTTTGAATTTCGTGAAATTGAAATCAGGACCTGACAAGTGTGACTGTGCTTGAAATTTTCTTTGAGAGTACAGCAGATAGAAGCAATCTCAAATGGAAATGACCTAATGTTTTCAGCTGCGGCATATGGTTCAGTGGAAATAGAAGCCGGATGTAAGGATGTTAGGCTGATTCTCCATTTCTGTGGAAAATGAAGAAAAACAGAAAGTGGCCACAAAATTAGTTAATCACCCTATGGCTTAGGGCTTTCTTACTGAAAGATGCAAGGACTGTCTTTGTTTCAGGTCAAGCATCCACATCAGGCATCAATGTACAAAGACAAATGGCAAATCAACAATGTCTCAACAACATTCCGGTGAGTGACCCACCAGACCTGATGCCATAAGCCATATAATTACATAATAATTTTACACAAATTACATTGGTTACTTATCACAATTTTAATTTATTTGCATGCTTGATGTATTCACTGTATACATCTGGATACTCAGTCAAATGCCATATAAAGGATACAGATCTGACGTGTTTTGATTTTTGGCTTAACTTGGAATAATCACTATACTATACTGATGCAACCAGTCCTGGTTTCTGTCCACATAATCAGTCTGGTTTGTGCTGTTTCCCATAGTTCCATGGGTCACCTGTGGACCCTCCTGTTCACCGCACTATACGTCACCATGTGCCCAATCCTCAGGGTAAGTCCTCTGTCATCCTTTTCCTTAATCCGTTCTATTTGATCGATGGACATGAGTTCCTTTTGGCAAAAAAAAAAAAGGAATCGCCCTTTTTACTTTGTTAAAATGCTTTTACTCATTTCAGCTCCAGAGAACATGCAAATTGCAGTGCCTGAAACAGGATGGCAGTATGGCCAGGTGATACCAGCAGATATTTTTAAAGATTACACGCTGTGTTGCGCACCCTTTGTGACACTGGCTGACTGCATTCTCTGCTGTGAAATACCCAATTTCTCTAACCCTGCAATGGACCTCTTTACCACCTCATTTCCAATGGTCTTCACTTCACCTCATCTCCTGTGTTCGGGACCACTCAGGTCCTGTTTTTGAGAGGCCACAGTGTCTTCGGTCTCTGGCTCTAGTCAGGTGACTGACCAAATTATACAGCTAACAGCAAGCTCTTAACTGTACTAGTGTAACATAATGTGAGTGTTTTATAACGCAAGTAATGAAACATCCAGAACTGTGGCCTCCTGGAGTAGGCTTGAGTGGACCGACCCATTGTGTGCATCATCCAGCTTTGCCTCATGTAGTAACACTACTGTTCCTGGAACAGTAGCATTAATAGTTTCTGTTGAGAATGGTGGAACAGTAGTATTAATAGTTTCTGTAAAAACAGTGGTGGAACAGTAGTATTGATAGGCAGTTAATGTAAAACATGACTGCCTATCAATACTGATTTGCGCATACTACACTACACATATACTACACTATACTATACTACACATACTATACCTCCATTGCACTACGTTTGGATATATGATTAGTGTGTAGTGCGATGGTAAAATTTGAGCATATAACCTTGAGTAATTGCTGCCATGTGTATTGCATTAATTTATAGTTTGTTTATATCCAAGTAGAATGTCTCAGTTTTGTGGCTGCAATTATCACAGCCAAAACTGCTATATAATGAACATGTCCTGATACACACACACACACACACACACACACACACACACACACACACACACACACACACACACACACACACATATATGCTTAGCTGGACAATGAAGCTTTTAAAAATCAGTTTGACAAAGGTCATCCAGCTGATGAGTGCTTTGATGTTCCACAAACCTATGAGAAGAATAGTATAGGTATTTCACTGGGCACACTTTTACATTGATTGGAATTTTTCCAGTGATATGATGTAGAGTTTTCCAACAACCCCTTCCAACATCACAGCAGACTTTCTTTTCAGTTTTTCCCTTTGTTAACCAGACATTATTGGTTTGGTAATGCTCCAGTGCTCCCATGTTTAATGTCCTCATTAGAGTTCTTCACTCCCTGTCCCCCTCTGCTGCAGAGCTCTGTGGAGGTGTACAGGATGCGGGCGGAGCCCCGAGGCACTTGTGTCATTATTGACTGTGTGGGCAGTGATGGTGGTAAGTACCTTTTGCTACAGACTTTTCACAGTGCTGTCTGGATTTTTCTCTTGTCTGTTAGTTGTAATCAGGAGGCATCTTATCCAGCAGTACTGAGGTGCAGTTAACGCTGTCAGCCAGTGATTAGAGTAATATGAGTTCCTGCGACTGTAAGCAAGGCTCTCAACCACCATGGACTGCAGCACACAGATCCTCCAAAATGTCAAGATTTAGCACAGAACTTTAAAGGAAGAGAATAAAAAAATTAAAAAGTGCCAGTTACCCTGGAAGGAAAGGACATCTATGGTACTAATAACTTTTCAGTCCATTATTCAGGTATTGCCAAACCTTTATAGAATAGAATAGAATTAAACTTTATTTTCCAACCAAAGCTGGCAGATCTTTTTTGGACCTACCTCAAGGGCAACATTACCAATGACAGTCACAGCAAGCAGTACATCACATGACAGTTACAGGTAAGCAGCCTAGTGTGGTCAGAGTGGTTTAACTTTTTTCCTTTTTGTTTCCGGAGACATGTTAAAAGAGACATTCAGCCGCCTGCACTTCAGGGTGTTACTGCACAAGTGGCCCAGTTTAGAGGACATCCACTGTGTCCTGAGGGGCCAGGCCCGCACACAGGACCTCCAGGGAGACGATGCCTTCATCTGCTGCATCATCAGCAGGGCCACCAGCTCTGACCTGCTGGCTACTCAGCAGCGGGGCCCAGGACTGTCCCTAGACGGCATCCGACAGCTATTCACTGCTGAGACCTGCCCGGGGCTGGCGGGTAAGCCCAAGCTGTTCTTTATCCAGAGCTACAGCGTCTCTGAGCCCTGTGGCCAGTATGGGTACAGGGACGAGGACCTAGAGACAGACAGCCCAGCGAACACCTGTGCTGTGGAGTCCATCCCGACTGAAGCTGATGTCTTCTGGAGCCTGTGCAGGACGAACGAGCAGCAGCTGCAACGTTCCGGGCACCAGTCTGTGTACCTGAGGACACTCTGTGCAGCTCTGCTCAATGGCCAGAGGAGGTACTGCCCCAGTCCCAACATTGTTATTCAACTATAAGTGTCTATCTATCCCTCTATCAGCTTTGCTATTCATTACATATTAGTGTTCAAATCTCTTTCATTGCATTACAGTCATTTAGCTGACGCATTCATCCAAAGTGACTTACAGTTAATTAACTAACTAATGACCAATCCGCCCTGGGAGCAATGTGCAGTTAAGGGCCCTGCTCAAGGACCCAGCAGCAACAGTGTTCTTGGCTCATGGCTAGACTGGGGGGGCTTGAACCACCAACCTCAGGGGTCCCAGTCATGTACCTTAGCCAATAGACTGCAGACTAAACTTTCAGTTCATACATCAATTTCATTACTAGTTTTGAGTTTATAATGCATACTAGTTGCATTAGTTTATTATTGTACGTACATTTCCCCTTACTAGCATTGTCCTTACAGGCCATTCCTTATGTCTCTGTTGTCATGTGATCCATTACAGGAAGCTCCATCTGGTGGATGTGCACACAGATGTGAATGCAGTCATATACGACCATAACTGGGAGCTCCCAGGAGAGACCTATTCTGTCAGTCTGAGGCACACACTGAGGAAGAACCTGTTCATGTAGTGAAGGTGAAAATATAGCTCATTGTCTTACTCTTGTAATGAAGGTGAAAATACTATTTTTTGTTATGTTACTGTAATTAAGGAAATGCATATTTTGTTCAACATAAGCTTAATGCGATTCAGATACTTTTTTTGAAAAAGCATGGAAATATCTTTGACAACAATATTATCAAATTATATGCATTTTATTTATCAGATATCAGATAATATTTCTATATCCATTCAAAGTTTTTTAAATTGTTTTCTACTTTTTTTACACCACCATTTTAATTTAATATTTAATTTTATCTCTAATAGTATTCTAATAGTGTGTATATACAGTATTCCCAGTCGCAGGACTCACACTTGCTCCATGAACGGCAGCGTGTATGATATATGTGTATTCTTGGTGCAACTGTGAATCCTATGACTGGGTGTCGGAGGCCCAGGTGGGCTATTAGCAGCTATAGTGCATTAACGAGGTAATAAAAGACATTAAGTGTAGAAGTGATCAGACTCATCACTCTGTAGCAACCACTACTGGCTGGCTGAGTGACTGCAAGTAAGTAAGCCAAGCATACTGGTGTGCTGATTGCATGTTCCTCTGATGACACAGACAACTTGTCACTGTGACACATCAGTAGTGCAAAACAGTAGTGGCAAGCTTGTCAGCATGTGAATTGTGATTTACCGCTCCTTTGTGGGTCTGTGGGAGAATATCAGTGTGGTGGGGCTGATTATTTTGCAAACTATCCTGGCTGTGGTGCATACAAGAGATACAGAGCGAGGACTCACTAGCTAGGTTCTGGTCCTGTAAAGCTCCATTCAACTCATAAATAATATGCTCAAAAATGTGTGCTTCTCCACTATTGTTGGAGAGCTCATATCAATGCCTTTTTGATCATGCCATCCCCACCAGAGAAACAATAAAGTGATGGCTAACAAGTGAGCAAGATAAGCAAGCTAGTCAGTAGCTGTGTTACTATTTATCCCATATAGAAATAGAATTAGAAGGTTTTTGTTGTGCTCTCAGATGTCAAAAAGGTATGATTGAAAGGTATGAGGTATGATAGCTGATTTAGGATTAACACAAGGAGGCTTTACAGATGCAGAAAATGCAGAGGTGACAGTAGTTGAGTGTGATGGTGCTTTGGTAAATAAGGATCATGATTAAGTCATTTCTATGTGTTGTAGATATTAAATCAGTGTAGGATCTCACTTCACAGTCTGTTGGCAAAGTTGATAAGGGCCCCGATTATCATTATCACTTTTCGCTGCATTAGCCTGGCACTACACCACAGCTTAGTTTGTATACTGCAAGTTGTTTATGAATGTGTTCAGTTTAAGGGGTGTGAATGCTTTTGGGGAGTATTTGATATGCTCATGCAGTTTTTTGTATGTTTCCTCCATGTTTCTGTATATTAATCATTTGGTATCTTAACACAGTAAGCCACTTCAATGAAGAAACCATTCAAGATCTTACTTGTCGATAAAATTATTTGTATGTCTTTCATATAGCATATGTAGCAATTGACTTATGATTGTGTATTTGATCATCAGAGGCAGCTCAGACACACACCTGTTTCCCATGGTATGTGATGCAGTCCACCAGTTGAGTAGTGCAGTATTGTGAGGAATATGACAACCCATGCAGAGCTGGTGTAGACCGACTGCAGGTACCTGACTGGCCAGAGGGATGGGGACATCCCACCCCTCACAACACTATGGACAAATATGGACCAGTCACAATCAGTACTGACAGTCAAGATTCAAAATCACACCATTTGCATACAATAAACTAATTGAAAGTGCTTTCACAAGTAAAACACACAATAGTCATGTACAAGCATTACATTTACATAGTGTATATGTAACTTATATCTCTTAGACTTGCTGAAAATAAAACATTTGACAGAAACATCTAGTTTTGAAGTTCAGCTTTTAGAATCAATAAGCTAACTAGCTGTGGCTGGTAATTTGAAATAACTGCATGAAGTTACTCAATGTGTTCGCAGTAAATGTTAACATTTGTGTACCAATAAAACATAATCTTTCCAGTGTCTATTTCCTCTCCATTGTTATTTCTGTCATATGTAGGTTTTAAAATATTTTAATTAATTTGCATAATGCAGTGGGCTATGAGAATCGCCACCCCTCATGTTGCCGAACTCCACTTGGCATGTTGCAGCCAATCAACCTCGACTAGCGTGGAGCTCACCCAATCCAGGAGCTGCGCACGAGCCGAGCCTGAAATTTTCCTTTTGAAATGAAACGTTCAGGGGTACACAATGTTTGAACAACATTTCATCTAATGTAACTACCATATTTCACCTTTTTAATCAGGAAAGTATGTTGTGTTATATTCAATAATTTAGCATTTTTATTCCAGCTCTCACGACAGGGACCGTATGGCCCATTCCTTGTTAGATTACATAAATTCGCACTTCGTATTTTCACTGTACCAAAAAATTAATCGTGAACCATGGGTTTGGTGAACCACTGCATTTTATCGTGCTGATAAAACATTTATATTAAATCATAAACGACTTCGTGGTTGGCACTGGCTTCTGACTGTGAACGGGATGTGGTCACTTGCTATTCGACTTTGTGTCGCTAGATGGAAATCAAGTACTATACTGCTGAGTTTCACAAAAGGTAGCCTAGTTTGAAGGTCTCGGTTAGAAAAATATTATAGTGACTAATTGTACTGGGGATAGGTCTCACTCAGTTACCTGTGAAATTGCATTTCAACTAACTATACAATGGTAATTGTTTACACTTAATTATAAATATTTAGTGGCCATATGCAAAAATGCATACAAACATCAAACTACAAGTTAATATTGAATACATTTTTCTCCTTGAGCGATTGATTCTTTAACCTATTTGTGGATTGATTGCAATAGGGTTAAAATATAGTCATTTACTTAAAGGCACCATATTTGATAAAAAGTATTTCCATTGAAACTTGACGTTCAATAAAACCGACAGTAAAAGCAAAATTAAAATAATTTCCCACTATGTTAAAGGAAAAGGTAAGTTATTCTCAGCTGCATTCAGAGGGCCTAAAATGTATTTATATTTTTAATAGCCAACGAATAACGTCTAGTGTGTCTCAAATCCTCCTAATGTATGTATAGCTCATTTTGCAGTTCGTTTTTCAAATGTCATACGATTTGTGGTTATTTTATGTAATCGTCAAATATGTATTCACTATAAAACAAATGTTTAGACATTAACACAAGTAGCCTGCCAAGCACCGGTACCGGTCCACAGGTAGGCTTGCCCCCTGCCCAGCCAGAAACGCGCGAGCGGATGTGCACGCGCACCTTATACGGCGGTGTTCGAGCTGTAGCTGGCTGCAATGGCGGCTCGGTAAGGTGAAGTGGGATGGCACCGTGAGTGGAATGAGTTCTTCTAATTTTGACAGGACGTCAATAAGACGAAATCGTTGGAATAAAAGGAAAAAACGTCTATGTAAGAGGGGCTCAAGCAGTGGACTGGGGAGAAACAGAGAGGTCTGTCCATGCCATAGTCCGAACGAAAACAAGAATATCGGTAAGCAGTTTGAAAGCTTTACCAGCGAGCGGGCTCAGTGTGTACAGTAACCACCACCCAGCAGCCGCTTACTTACAGAACGGAGCAAGTAGGTTAGCCAGCTGTAGACCGTATCTGATCGGTCAGAAGTAGACTGAAGCGGGATACCATGGCTGAGCGGAATTCCACTGGATTACTGATGATGATGCTGGAGCCGACACCGGCAATAGCGATGACCCTCCCCGTCGAGGTTCGAGAAAAGCTGGCAGAGCTTGAGTTGGAGCTCTCCGAAGGTAAGCTTGGACGTCTTGCAGTGGTTTCTCTACAGCAACTGGAAAAGGCCAGTTGATCACACACCGGCACTCTTTAGTAGTATAATTCACACTGTCTATTGCCTGTAACGGACCTTGCCATTTCTGTCACTGATAGGGTAAAATAATTTTTAAGAACATGGTGTTTTACATTATATCGGTTAGCGATAGACTGAAAAGTCAGCAAGCCCGCACTCTTGATTTATATTCAGCTTGGACTAGTGATGACTTAAGATGTGCCACCGATCGCTCCAATAACATTGGCCTTCAAACTAGTTCTCTGAAAATAGTCTCATAGAAGACTACAATGAGTGTGCTGACTGATCAATCTCACAACTTCTTGATGAACACTGAGGCCACTGTTGTGATTTATAGCTTGTCACTGAGTATTTTAGACATTCAGGTGCTGTTCGCATTTTGAATGTACATGTGTGGTGAATAAAGTGATGTTGAGAATTGCATGTTTTTCGAATTAAAGTGAGACTTCATGCAAGAGTATGTCATAATTTTGCTTGAAATATGTTCTCTAAACACGTATTAAAGGAAGAAGTTCTCAATGAAAATTCCTTCTGGTACTTCTTTGAGCCCTCCCTGGATACTTTGTGACACACTGCCACTGTTCCCATGTTGGTGTGAGCTAAGTCTTGTACCTGTAAGGAGTTAACCTCATAAAAGCTAATAAAGCTCTCTACTGTAGAAATAAATTTAAATAAACTTCCTTCATGGCACACTTGCAAGTCTCCTTCCTGTTCCAATATATTGGTTTGTATCCAGGGAAGTTAGAGACCTGTCTGTGATCAATAGGAGCAGTTGATTGCAGAATAATATCTCTTAGTCTACCCAGAATGTGAATGAGGAATAGAAAGTAGTGCAGAAATGGGTGTGCACTACATTG